TGGACCGTGGTCCCCACCAGAATGCACCTGATGACTTTAACAACTTGGTGATTGTGCAGAAAGCAAAGGAAGTACCACCTCCTCTCATGACCGAAATAACCATGAGGAGCGAGGAACTGTTCACCATCGAGGAGCCACAAGGGTGGACGAGTGCTAGGTTCGACTGGAGACGAGCTGCACCCAAGCTACCGTGAGGAATACGGCAAATGACCCAAGGAAACATCGCGCAAGATAAAGGCTTCACCGAAGCGTTACACTATTGAAGCAGCGGGTTAAACTGGCGAAGGTGGGCATGTCAACACAGTGTTAAGATGTCAACCAAAAGCCTGCCACACCTGGCCCGTCAAGCCAAGCGGCAAAGACAGAAAATAGAACAGGAGTGACTGCCGCACCTCCCCAAGGTGGCGCTCGACAGCGGGGGGTAGAATTGTGGACCCGTGCCATATTTGTAGGGTTGTTGGTGGCCCTATCCACTGCATTGTTGTTTGCCGCCATAGCATCCAGCTACCCAGCATTCGCCTCAATGTCCCAGCACTAGATAGGAACCATGACCCCACAAGCCCATGAGCCCGCGGAGTGGCACTACTAGGTAGAGGTGTATGTGGGCATCCGGCGAAGGAATGCCCAGGATGAGCAAGCCACGCAACTTCAAAGGTGGTGCGTGGCAAACAACATAATTCACCAGCAATGACAGGATAACCCTATCCGGTGGAGTGAAGGCGAGGACCCATAAGTTGGCGTCATATAGCCATGGTGGTGTGGAGGCTGGACACAACAACCACCTGACCACAACACTGAGAACCGCGATAGGGAGACTACTCCCAGCTGAGACGCCGGTCAGCCGGAGCATACGGGTTGCGACTCGGAGGAGGACGACCCTTGGCAACCACACACCTGAGCCCGACACATGCAACCAGTATGGGAGGGTGACTGGGCCTTAGCGAGCAACGCTATGGCTTAAGGACCACCGGGGAGACCGCACCCCAGCTTGCGGGACGCTCGCTACTAGAGGGAAAGGATATAAGGGCTACTCATAGTACATTGTATATTATAAGCTGCTTAGGAACATTATACAATAGGGGACACTCGCTTTAAGAAAAAGCACAATGCATTGTATAATAGAAGCCCTCATGGGAGTATTGTATATTAGAGAAACCAAGACAAATACTTGAGAGGGGATAGAACCTACTGAAAACGGCAGCTCGGGTGTTTTCTAGTACTGTGGGCAAAGTGGAAATACCACCGTGTTGGTCAATACGGAAGGAGTGGGTCTCGGGAACCAATGGGTGGGTGGGACGGAAGAACAAGGGACAGGCGAGTTCGAATTGAAACCTGGCGGGTATGCTAGAATTAGGGAGACTCACCCTATTTCTGTCATGACCCTTGGGATCCCTTGGAAGCGGGTATAAATATAGCCACACCGGAGTAGTTTGTAGTCAAAGTTGCTGCCTAGTTTCGACCTGACCAGTCCCCAACTCGAACGGAGAGAACGGGCTATTTCCCATCTAACCAAAAAAAGATTCCGCTCCATACAGGAACGGACCGGAGTCCGTTCCTGTTCTTGTTCACGTACCCATTCCTAGTCCGTTCCCATTCCGGGATGGCCGATTTCTGGTGCAACATTGCTGATAATATATTCGAAGATGGCCAAAAAGAGTACCAGTGCCTTACAAACAAAAATTGCTAAGCAACAGAAGAGGTGGGACATTGCGCAACCATTCCATTCACAACCTACACTATCCACCCCAATCCTTGCCTAACAATGTATCAGATTATAAATGGTCAAGATATTTATTATCGGATTATGAAGTGTATGGGTACAGTGACAATACACTAAGGCACCGGTGTGGGTGCCATAACACGGATTGTCTCCGCACCGGTGACCCACGAGTTGGTCACCGTATTTATGTGGTGAGTGCGGTGTAGTAATGATCCTTTTTCGTGCAAGCAAACGGCTCCCGCGACCTGACCCCGCGACCTTGGCCAACCTGGCCGGCGGAGCCCGCGAGCTCGCTTGTCCCCGAGCATACCACCACGAGCGTTGTGCCCAGCATGCGCAGTCGGACCATTCGGACCCGGTGGAGGCGGAGCATCGAGCGACTAACCACCACGCACATCGGAGGGCCCCTCGCAACAGCGGGGGCCCGAAGGGAGGCCGACACCATGAAAAGCAAATGGATGCTTGTGATGCGAACACTCTATTCAAAATTCTAAACATTTCTATGCTATGAAAAGGCTATTGCTATCCAAGGCTATCATCCCTGGCAATGACATTTTTGTCAGTTTCAATAACAAAAACTCAAAAGCAATGAACAATTTCTAACCATCGAGAAAAATGTACCATTCTAGGAATTTCCATTTTGTCAACTCTTCTGACTTGTTCACCTGACTTTACTAGGATATAAGACCCTATGGCCACACTGCCGCCCTCCACAATGCCTATATTTTTAAAGATTTGGGAGCCACTCTTGTGCATGCATGTGGCCTTGTAAGGCATGCTCCTCAAAGAGCCTCAAGTGAGCTGGAAGCCTATTGTGTGAGTTTGCCCTGTAGGCTATGATCCATTTGAAAAACACAAGGACTAGAGTTCCCTATGCAACCATATGAATAGTTGTTATTGCCATAGTGACCCAATTGACAAGGGGTTGCAAGGAAAAGGATCTTGCACAGCAGCCATGCAACACATTGAGTTGGGGATTTCTCCAACGCCCACTGGACAATAGATCACTTTACTTAGAAAGGGGACAAAGGCAAGGCTTTGAAGTAATCATGGCCCACGAATATTTATTGCAAAATAGGTCTGAACAAATATTGCAAAGACTAAACAATCCACAATTGGAAAGTTGTAAGAATTCATTGGACACATGTTTGATCAAACGGCCAAGCCCATCAGTAGACATTGATAACTTTGTGAATAGGTCAATAGCCAGCTCTTGGTCTTGCATGCAAAAAGTCAACGATTTTATGTGGCAAGATGCGATAAATTGCAGCTCACTGCCCCAACACTGTGGGCAAGGGTCCAGCTGCCTAGAGGCATATCCATTTCCAAACAACCATTATGGGCGTGAGAGTAACGCCTAAGGGGTGCCCAAACATCTGACACCGCTTGAATAGCAACTAACAATTTTACTATTGATGATGTATCCCAATTAAGTCTTATCTTCCATTATATGATGGTGGTCTCACACTCACACTCACACGGAAGTGCCCATTTTGTGACGTGCTTCCATCATGTATAAGAACAATCTTTTATATTCTATTGCAAATATTCTCACCGATAGCTGAACAATGCATCCACCCCAATTCGTCTTGAGTTGAGGCCCCAAAACACCCTCATCAACTCGGGGCAAGTGTGGTGCCAGAGGGCATTGCAACATGAGATGAAAAAACAGAAGAAAGAAACTTGAAATGGAATTACGGCAACGGAAATGAAACAAATGGATGAACGAATAAACGGAGACAGACAAAATCGGCTTCTGGATACACACGCGCACACCCCTCATCGCCCGCAAGGCGCAAGGGCTCCGCTCTGCCTTACGGAGGCGAATGCAGCGCAAGGAATTCATCGCTGCAGTGGCCCGTTGTTCGCACCTCACATCCTCAGCCAGCCCCAGCCAAAGGGCTCCCATCACGGCGACGCACACATGCACGCGGGTCTCCACCACTCCGCCGGCCACCAGCAGCGCGGCCTGCCCGAGCAGCAGCAGGCCGCAGAGCGCGAACGCCACAGATCGCCCCGCTCCTCCCGTCCATTCCCCCCATTGGCCGCCACCCGCCATCGCCGAAAAAATCGGACCAAAACGGCTGCCGCAGACGCCGCCGCGCTGTGCGCCAGCCTGTGGCTCAGATCCATCAGCCCCCTCCGTTTGAACACCGCACAGAGAAGGGCCTCCGGAGTGAATGGCGCCCACCGATGCTTGATTGTGGACTGGTCCTTTGGGGAATTTGAGTGGTGGTCATGGGAGTGGTAGCAGCACGTCATCGCCGGCGCCTTGTCGCCACGCGACCTGACGGCCATGTCGGACGAACTCCGGCTATCCTCGGTGGCCCAGGGAGGCCGACAATCGGCTGCGACGGTGATTGTAAGTAGGCCCCCGGGACGCAGGCAAATCGGCGTCGCCCGCGAAAAACACGCGAGGGATGCCTCAAAGGGACGGTGGCAGCGAATCGGGGCCCCCCGCCACCGCCACCGTCCTCCTCGGAGGGCTTGCGGGCTCAGGGGAAGACGACAGCAGGCCTCACGCCACACGGGGGTGATGGGCGAAATCGATTGGCAGAGTTGAGGGCACCCCGTCTGAAGTGGCCTGAGGCTGCAGAGGCAGCGAGAGGCAGCGACCGACGGAGAGGGGTCCCTGCGCTCTGCCCTTTCTTCCTCACGCCTTTGGTTGAAAACTCCCCTCCCGCACACGGGGCTCAAGCAAACTGCGCGCAGAGCCAGCTCGCCAGAGTGACAACGAGACTATACTCACTCCTCAACAGCGACTAGTCGCACAACTGCGTACAAGGATTGTTGTACGGCCCTGCGCACGTGCATTACTATCCTGGTACTTTGGCGCTCCTCTGCCTAACAGGTTAGTACTTTAGACGGCAATGCTGAGTGTCTTCTGGGTGAAACTTGTTCATGGGGGCGGACGGCGATTTCCACCGGTTGCCTGGGGTAAAGTACTGGGCACAGAACTTGCTGGGCACGTAAGTGGCTGCGGGACTCTCGTTCCTTGCATTGGTGCAGCGCAGCCTTGGTTGGTTTGCCCACAGGCCAAGACTGTTTTAAAAGCCCTTTGACGTTTTGGGAAGGCGCGCCAGCGGCGGGCTGGGGGCGGGATCGCGCAAGGCGGGGCGGGCCGCCAAGTGCCTGCCATTGCCGCCGCGCCATCCGCCGCATGCTCTCTCCATCCGCGTTGCCGTCTCGGCATCAACGGGTGGGATTGGTGGTCTGCAGGACAGCGCCGCTGAGCAAAGATTGAGGAATTGGAGACAGAGAAGTTTGGAGAAATTGGCGAATGCTGATTCGGTGGTGCCGGGGGCTGCCGGCGTTGGGGCCGATGCCGGACATGTTGGCGGCCGTGGCTTTGTCGACGGTGGCGGGGGCGGCGCCGATGCAGTCTCTGCAGCCGCCGCTGGAGGACTGCGAGCGGGGCACTGGTCACAAGCCGCAGCGGGCGAGGCGGCAGGAGGCATGGTTGGAGGGACGGCAGCGGTTTCTGGCAGAGAGGAGCCCGCACCAGGAGCGCGGGAATGCGAATTTCGTGGATTTTCGGAGCTTGGACTGTAAGAAGATTGAGGAAGTTTTCTTGGGACTGGGTTCTAACGTGTCGGGATACCATCTGGCGGCCGCGTTCGCTCGGTTGAAGAAGATCAATGAACGCCCGCCGGGACACCTCCTGGACGCCCTTGCTCAGTTGACGATGCACGTGGGCGAGGCCAGGCTGCACGTCAGGGACAGCGTGTCAATATTCAGCTCGTGCGCTAGCATAGGATACTTTAATTCGGATTTGTGCAACTTTTTGGGAGGCCAGATAATAAAATTTCAAGATTTTATGGGCGCAAGGGAGGTGGGCGACCTTATTCACGGCATTACAACGCTTAGGAAGGACTGGTACAGGGCCAGGAGCGACAAGCTGGGATCGCGACACACGCCACCAGTCTGGAATGAAGAAGAAAAGATGTTTGGAATGGAGGATGACCTTCTGAGTTGTGCAATCTCAAGAGTTTCTTTCCAAAAATTGAAAGGGGCCAGCGACCCCAGCGCACTGACGAGCATAATGGTGGGATTGGGCCAAATGGGATGTGGAAGCGAAAGGGTGCTGGGTGAACTTGCCAGGACTGTGACAGACCGAAGGATTCTGATGCATATGAAGGCAAGGGATCTGGCACAGTTCCTGGTCAGTTTTGCTCGCCTTCGCTACAAAGGGGAGGCGATCGACATATTGGCACAGAGGGCTGTCGGCTGCTTGGATCACTTCAACGAGCTGGAGCTGTCCAACATAGCGCATTCCCTGGGCCAGGTGGCTTATACCAACAGAGCTGTTTTAGGTGTCCTTGCGAAAGAGATGGCAAACCCCCAGCGGTTACACCGGTACATACCCCAGGGGCTGGGCATGGTGCTGCACGGCCTTGCCAACTGCCATTTCTCTGAATTTGACGTCATAAATGCCCTGGCAAAGGAGTGTTCAAGGCCAGCACGGCTGGAGGCATCCAGCGCACAGGACCTTGCGGTGGTCATCTACTCACTGGGCAAGATGGGCTTTCGCAAGATGGGGATATTTGTGGTGTTGGTGGGCGAGGCTGTGAAGCCCTGCAGGCTCCCGCAGTTTACAGGACATGGGTTGGCAAACATCCTGTACGGCATGGCCAAGACAGAGTTATGCCTGGCTGGCCTGGTGCTGCCCTTAGCGAAAGAGATCGCTCGCTCAGACCGCCTACGGGAGTTTTCAGAGCAGGGCCTGTCCAACATCTTGTACTCGTTTGGGCTCCTGGGCTTCAAGGACCCTGCAATACTGCACCAAGTCGCTGTGGAAGTTATGTGCCCCCGCCGTTTGCGGCGATTCACAAACCAGGCCCTGGCCAACATCCTCTATGGACTTTCCCTCAGCAGATTTGGCGAAGTAGGGCTGCTGGCACCCCTGAATGCTGAGGCCACGGACGGGCGCCGAATGTCACACTACCCAGATCAGGGCTTGATCGCCATGATGTTTGCATGTGGGCAGCTGGGATTGAGGGAGCCTGTGCCAGCTCTGTTGAAGGAATTCTTCGCAAGGGTTGATAAGGTGTCCTTGACTGGCAGAGTGGCAATTCTTTCTGCTTTGGGCAACCTGAACTACAGGGACAATCAAGTTGTGGCAATGCTCCTTGGCGACCTGCTGTCCATGAATGTGCTCCGACAGCTGAGGACCAAGCACATAGGCGATGTGCTGCGCGCTCTGGCCAGGCTTGACTATCGAGACGACGATGCAGTGGCCGTGCTTGTAAATGAGGCCAGCACACCACACCGACTGCCAGATTTTTTGAAACACAGGTTCACACGTCTGGTACACAGCCTTGGTACGCTGGGTTACACAGATTGCCGCATTTGGGGCCTTCTGGTGCTTGAAGGCATTCGAAGGGCGCCGTCCTGGACACCTTGGGAGATGGCGAGGGCCCTTGTTGGGTATGCGAAGGGCAAGGTGCAATCCTTGCCACTGTGGGAGAAGGCTGTCGTGGAGATGCAGGCAGAGGGCTGGTTTGACGATTGTGTGGCAAGTGACGCCGCAAAGATTGCGTGGGCCCTTGGTGAGGTGGGGTTCTATGCTGAGGGAGTTTTCACATCACTGGTTGACAAATTCACAAAAGAGCATGAATGGAGGGAGGAAACCATGCACGAAGCAACATCTGTGATGTTCGCATGCGGAGTACACAACCACTGCTCAGACTCCCTTATCAAGCACAGCCTTGCAAACCTGCTGTGGGATGCCCCCAAAGCGGGTGCTGATCTGTCCAAATTCTGGGATCCTCCAGGCCTGGCAACTGCAGCGTGGTACCTAGCCGTTGTGGACCATCTGGACTCGGGGACTTTCTCTCGGCTCTGTCAGCAGATGGTGCAACTTGAGAAAACTGGCCACGTCTTAGGGCATGAGGACTTGAATCAACTCTTTCTTGGTCATCTGTGTGCAAAGTTGGATTCAGTTGATGCTGAAGGCACGTTGCGCAAGGAGGTTGCCCAGGCGTTGGAGAGCAAAGAGGTCTCGTCATTGCTGTTGCGGGCAAGAGAGGGCTACCTACAGCACCTGTCTCCTCAGTGCCCACCATCTGATGCCCAAAATACAGTCCTGCTGACGCTGGACAGGCTGGGAATGAGCTATAGGCCGAACCCACTGCTCAAAGAGGCTTGCCTTGTTGTGGATGCTGAATTGGTGGGTGAAAGGACTGTTGTTATGGTTGAGGGACCTGACTGCTTCACCAGCAACAAGCCTGCATCACAGCACCGGCGTCGTGGAAGTGCTGTTCTCAGGAATCGCCTGCTTGGGAGACAGGGCTGGAAGGTGGGTTTAAGTGTGCGCTCTGCAGGCAGTGAAAGGGTCTACAAGGATCATTGCTTTGTATACATCGCAGTATCTGTTGCTCAATTTTTTGTCCAAGAAGGGTCCAAGGCCTTTTCTTGGTGTTGTGTTCAATGGGAATATGTTCACGAAGCACAGCAATATGAGTTAAAAGATGCAGATGGACGAAAATGGTGCTGCTACCTGATTGCGTATGTCCATTTAGGGCGATGTTGAATTTGCTGTGCTAGGGTGTTTTCTGGGTGTGCCGTTCTGTCCTGGAGCAGTCCATTCTATTCAGGAACAGTGGAGATGTCAGCATACAAGATTGGGAGAATTCTGGTGCATGCTTCTGTCATGTAGATTCCAATTGTCGCAAGGCAAAGCGCCAGCCTTGCACCTTCAAGAATCAATGGGCATTGCTGTATCCATAGAGATGGCAAAACGCTGTCTGCTGATGGAAACCAAGGTCTAAGTTTGATGCCTATGTTTGAGGAGCTGCAACTCAGTGACCAACATAAGATATGGCCAGTGCAGCACACACAGTTGGCTGTGTTGGCTGTCGAAGGGCACCGGTGGGTCATGCACCCGAGCTGGTGGACCACATCAGATGCTATGAAAGCGATTTGTTCAGGAGCTTGGAACTCTGGGGCAGAAAGGCGCTTCTCATTTACAGGGCCATGCATTGGGCGCCACCCCCATGAGCACGAATTTGATATGAGAAAATGAAAATGCATGAGAGGTTTGTGGCTTGCTGTTGCAGGTGGTTTGTGTGCCATTTTATGCTTGGGAGCATTTGGACGAGTCTGGACAGGAGGACTACCTACGCAGTGCCTTGAGAGAACAGGGGTCAGGTGAACGATGCCAGCAAGGCGTGGTGGCTAGGCAAGGGTCAGCAGAGGGAGCAGGATAATAGGCGGCACGCGTCGTTGGCGTTGTGAACTTTTTGTGTGGGCCCGGCGGCAGTTGGGCATCAAGAGAGCAGCATTGCATCGTTGTACATTATCGCTTCACGATTGAACTTTACTTGGCAGTGGGCGCTCTGCTATAAAATAATGTCAAAATTGAATATTCTTTGGATTCAAGCCTTCCGCTGCACATGAAAAGGCTTTCCGGATTTCTCAACAGGAATTTCAATGCAAGCTCAGTGTGTCTTTTGGCGAATTCTGTTGGCAGATAAGCATTCTTCATTACGACATCAATGTGCTTAGCGGATTTTGTTGGATTCGATGTACTACGTCAGTATCGATCCTCCGTTTAGTTGAACTTCGTTTATTGCAACAACTCGCTACTGTTATTACCACTTGATTGTTATTGTTTAAAACCCCACACGCATTTTGAGGGGGATCTACGGATAGGCCATGCTCACGTGTGCGAGGAGGATTCATGCATGTATGCATCACAACTCTCGTGGAGCACTTGGCGCAAGCTAGAGACAGCCGGGGATGGGGACGGGAGCACGGGTGGGGTGTTTTGGGGGAAAAAGAATCCGCCTCCGCTTCGACCGTTTCTGCCCAAGCTCGTTGCCAAAATGGGGCCACCGGCCCCTTCCCGGCAAAGTGGAGCATGGCGGTTGGCGTGCCCATCGGCCAGGGCAGGTGGCCACCCCTTGGCCCACCTGTCTGCGGCATCGCCTCCTCCATCAGTGATCTTCGTACTGTTTCTGCGCTGTGGCTGAACCCGCTGGCCCCCAACACGTCTGAGCTGTTTCACACGGGCGCTCTTTTCTTTTCTTTTCTTTTCTTTTCTGCTCTTTTCGTTTGCCAAAGAGTTCCTGTGCATCGACTTTGGACGAGGCGCAACAGATTTTCTGGAGTGGGATTATTGGGGACAGTTGCGGACACCAATCGCCCTACATCGCATTTCTTGTGAACGGGCCCCGTCTTGGATTGTGCATAGGGACAAACACTTTGGCTGGATGTAATTGGAATTTCACACGGGCGCTCTGAGTATGTGTCGTAACAGAGGGCGACCAAATCGCCTTGGCGTCGCCCCTCGCGCCTCCAAGGTATTTGACTCACAAGTTGTAAAGCCACGACAACGGCAGTAGTTCTGACGTTCCAATGATCAGAACCAAGAGAAGAGTCCAGGAGCCAGGAGTCGTGAGTCCCTTTTTTTGCTCTATGGCGTCAAAACACAGAGCAGTGCAATCCGTGGCGAGATGTGCGATTTGGCGAAGGGTGCTGGAGTGCTGAACTTCTCTGATTTCGAACCCAGCCGCCCTTCAATCTTTAGCTTGTTTAATGTTGAGCCTTGCCGTTGCTTGTGCGGTGGCGAGGGGACTGTGTGTCTTCTATGGGGACGGGTGTGGCGCCCGATCCCTGGTCGATCGTGAAACAGGATTGCAGATATGTAAACAGGTGGGAAAAACGACAGCAGCAGCGATGAGAGCGTGCACACAGGCCTGTGTGACACTGCCTGTGAGATAATGACTTGGAGGTGATTGTGTAAGGGTGAGGTGTTTGAAAGCGAAGGTGGTGAAAAATATTTGGGCAAGACTGGCACACAGGCAGCCGTCGAGGCTGCGTTTGGACGTGGCCGATCACAAATGGAAACGGCACTGCACGCGTCTGGGTGTGCCACCTTCCGCGCGCTGGGAGCCTTCCTCTCAAACTCTGTGCAGGGTTACACTTCATTCAGCAAAAGCCAACGATTCGAATCGTTGTCCTGTTTATTCCACCGGACTTAATCTACGATACCCAAAGACACCCTCTTGTTCAGCGCTATCTATCCCCAAACAGGACTGCTGCGGCGCGCACATTCTGAGTCGTTTAATGAGAGGCCCAAACGAGCCGCACCTGCCAGTCGTTCAAACACCGCCAGTCACCGTCGGTCATTCGGCAAGTCCCAATCCTCCCGATGCACCAGCGCTAATGCGCAGTGCCAAGTTGCTGCAAGTTTCTGCGTGCTGCGCAAGTAGCAATCCGAGCATGTGTGGGGAGGTTTATTCCGCCAATCGAGATTTCCTTTTCAAATTCTTCTTGAAATTCCTCTTGCAATTCCTCTTGCTTGTTCAACTTCCAGTCACTTGCGGCGTGCAAGAGGGCAGCTCGACAGTGCAGTCAACGGGCGCTGCACTGATGAGTCAGTTCTTTGAGTTCAGTCAGTCGTGTAGATGCCGGGGTGTCGTCGAATGAAGCGGGAAGGTTGTGTTTCAGTCACCTCTCCCGCCTTATTTGTACCAGGTTGAGGCTCCTCAGGCGGTTGAGGGCTGCCTGTATCTCAAACCGCCGCGGCCGCGCCAGGTTGCCAAGCTTCTGGTTGGGGTTCAGCACGTCGAGGCCCTGCAGGACAAGCACATGGCACACTAATCCGGCAACAGAGAAACTGAAAAAGACCCAAGCAATGCAACCCAACCCAACGCAGCAACGCAACGCGTAATGGACGCGAGGCGAGGCAACGCAATGCAGCCCATCATCGGTGGAATTGCATTATGCTAATATCACATTCGCTGCACCGGCATAGACCGCAGACCCTACGCTTACCATGGCCATGGTAGGTGCTCTTGATATCCACAACGCCCGGTACACCGTCGCGCTGCGGTGACTGGTAAAGGAAACAGCTGTGGGAGCCAATGCTCGTGCATGGGAACAACGGCTGGCGTCGCTTTGTTGGTGAATGGGCAGTGTCCGGCCGTGCTTCACAAAACGCCATCAATGCTATGAATCGCGTGCAATCGCGCATGAATCAGTACAAGTACTATATAAAACACAGCTGAATACACAGTACATGCTGTTGCTGTTACACGCCACATACCATCATGCACCCCATACATAAACGAGTTGCATAAACACGCCATGGGGAGCTGCAGGTGCTTTGCCCACCTGGCGATCGAACTCCTGCTCAAGGTGATCCAGGATGTTGCTCAGGGACCTCTTGCTGAAGGGGCCTTGTGCCGCTGCCCCACTCTGTATGTAGTGCACCGCTTCTGCGACCGCTCTGGTCTGAGACACCTCCACGAGCTGCTCAACAGCTCCCAATTCCAACAGCTCGGACCCAAAGTAGATCCTGAAGCGGTCTCTAACGTTGGTGCTAGCCTCTGAAATACCACACAGCATGTGACATGTCATGCATTGGTCCCAGCGCCCATGCAATTGGGGGGCCTGGCCGCATTTTACAGTGCTGCAGGTCCCAGGAAGTTTGACGGTGGATTGTGTGAGCCCCGAACCTGGACTGATAAATTGGCATTTGGGGCCGAAAAAGGGCACAGCGCGTAAACACCGCTTACTTGACACTGCTCTGAGGTACATTTGAGCTTTGCCATTCCTCACACTACCCTGGCTTTTGGTGTTAGGGTGCTAGCCAGACAGCTTGGTGCTGTGCACAGAGATACTACCTGCATGGCTGCACAAGGTGCAACCATGGATATACTTGTATGTGAGGCATGTCTATCTACATCTCAAGTCCTTCAATCATAAGTATGCAGGCCTAGCCTCCCATTGAGACGAGTACAGGGTTGATACCAGCCCCAAAAATAGGTTATCGCATGACAATTATGGTGAACACCTATGTTTCCAGCACTTTTGCAACTGCCCAGGCATTCGATGTCGATACTGAGGACCCCAAGCCGTCGATTGTCACAAAAGCACTCCATAAAGCAACATAACAGAGGGAACTCAGAAGTGGCTCAATCGACGGAGATCGCCTTTGTCCCTGGATGTTTGTAAGCAAACACCTGGGCTTGGCTGACATCAGTGTCAATGTCTGGAACGATGACACCTACACTACAGCTTTACACCAACAGCACCCTCTGCAGCAAAGCCAACAAAGCATGTCACACACGTCACAGTTTTGGGGGCCAGAGGTGCTCCATACCTCGGTAGTAGGCAGCAGGTGCAATGCACCTCTGGACAACGCCGGGATAGGCCCTCACTCCCCACTTCCGCAAAACCGCCGACTCTCCAAAGAGCTCAACGATGCGCTTTGCCTCCGACGTCACGTCCTTGGGGCAGTACGATTCCATACTGATCACCCTGTCTGCCACGTCGAAATACTGCCCATTGCCTCCAACCACCAAAATCGTTGACAACTGGTGGTCCGACAGTGTCCTGCAAACAGACATGCTCACCAACCCAGCTGTTGCGCCCCCAAGAGCTAGGTCATCACCAAGGCAACATTTGCTTACACGGGCAACAGCTGCTCAACACGGCACTCAGTATACAATGTCACACTCTCTGTCGTACAACGTCGCACTGCCGCGCATATCAGCTACTCCATTCTCCCTCATTGCACTCCATTGTTGGCAAACTATCTGAGGTGGTGTGTGCCTAACGGCACACTCACGGTGCTTTTGGTGCTGGTCTGAGGTCCATCCGCAACAAGCGAATTGATACTCATCTGCTACACATTCAGCAACTGTACACTTTATCCATTCGTTTGTGAAAGGGACTGCTTGCAGGCCTGGTGTGCTGGATTCTATGCATGCATGACACTGAGTGGCCTGCCATGTACCTCAGATTGGCCTCATCGCTGAAAACGGCACGAATGCCTGTACACACACTTCTGTGACAAATCGGCCCATTGAGCAACAGCGCTACAATCACAAGTACTGCTAGTTCCACCACGTCCTGTTGTTTGCATGCATTGAAGACACCAGGAAAAAGGTCAGCAGCTGGGTTTCTCTTCGACCCAGTATGCCCCTTGGTCCTTTGCCTTACCTCACTTTCACAATGAATGGCGTAACGGGTTCCTTCTCCTTTGAAACAAGGGCCTGCATGCGCTCATCACGGAACATGAAGTTTGTGGCGCACGAGTCTTCATCCAGCAACAGAACCGAGGCGCCAGCTTCTACGGCTTCCTGCGGGGGCAACAAGCACAACATGATGTTAGACACAACATGGAGATCCAAAGTGTACTACAGATTCCTTTGTTACAAGTACTGCATCTGTGTCCAGAAATAAACGAAATACTTGTTTGTGAGGTAGCAGTTGCATCACATATAGATTGGCTTATGCTGAAAATGAGACAAGAGTAATAATCACGAGTTTGCTACAGGCTCCCAAACTTTTTTAGAGAACCGCTGGGGATTGCACATATGGCAGTTATTCGAATCGGTGCCACTCCTCCTCAGGACTTGAAAATCTCAAGCTGTTGCTGACACCAAAAGCAGGGTCTCTGGAGTGCGGACACTTCCCATGAACCCCACAGTGCCAGAAGGGCACAGATGTCAAAACCACTGAGACTCGAGAAGGCAGTGGAAGTCATGCAGCTGCAGATGTCCACGTTGGCAGCATTGACAAGTGAACACGCACATGTTGACTTGAGCTCCCTTAGGTGATTGCCGATTACTCTCAAAAGAGCCTCAATTCGGAAACCTGCACAATGGACTGAATGACCGCATTTGGTCACTGAGAGGGTGGCCACTATGTTTGCGGGACCTAATGTTTCCGAATTTGACATTGTATTTAACAGTTTGCTTTTCCTTCATATTTGATATTGGTGTTCCAAACTGTTTCAATTGATTCTGGACAAGGTATCTAACTGCCCATTATATGTTTGCTTACTTGTTGTACTTGCTTTGGGCATACTCGCTGCATTTCTATCTCATTCTCAGATCAGATTGTGAGCCTTTCCTCAGTGCGGGCACCTGCACACCCATTAAGGCTGCATGCTGAGTGAGACTGCTGACTACTGTGGGGACAAGCATTCGTGGAGGGCAGCAGCAAGCGGCCCTCTGGATGCAACAGCAGTGCCAGTGGGTGTGAAGGCCAGCATACGCAAAGCAGGTTTCCACCTTGTATCCACCATCACATACACCAGAATCAGGCAACCTGCATGCATGTTTAGGGCTAGGGGAAATTGTTTTGATGTCACCAGTCTGTATATGGCCAGTACTACACTTGAGCGCCTGACAGCAACAGTGTTCGCTGTCCGCACACAGGTGCTCACAAAGTGTTTCTGTTCCTGCTTGCCACCAAAAACGGGCCTCAGCAACAGCCAATTTTGTCGGTTGATTCCACATTGCATACTTTGGAACAGAAATGGGCAGGAAATTTGCTGTCACAGCCATTGCAGGAAAGAAAACAGCAGCAGCCTCCACCTGACATTTGCGGCGCTTTCTTATTCTATAATATTCTGCACCACTTTTCCGTTTCCCCCTCGGGTTTCTGATCACCACAGCAGTACCACATGAATCCTCTGTTGCTACTTTAATCTGATAACATGGTGAAGCACTGCCCTTGCACCTGCCAGGCAACGCTGGGCTGCCAATGTTATGATAGGAATCCGTTCCATGATCGACAAGTGGATGGGCTGGCCTTGTCGCCGTGCGTACAGATTGTGCATGTTCATCGCTGCCATGCATCGAAAAAGATTGCAGGGAAAAATAAGCACATTTTGCACTCCTCGGCCAATGGCCAGCGATGCTAACAGCATCCCACAATGAAAAGTTCACTTCCTGGCTATGTCCAGGACCATTCCGAAGTGTGCGGCATTCGTTGCCTACAGTGAAACAGAAAACACGGCTTCTACATTACAGTCTTTGATGACATAATAATGGCACGTTAACTTCACATCATTACATCCAACATCAAGTGTGCACGCAGTAAGCTGTAGACTGCACCTCTATTGCACAAATCCTGTTCACCCCGTCCGTCTTGCCTGTATATTTGCTGACTGAGATGTGCTGCCACTTGCTTCCACTGTCGAGTAATTTGTGGTGTCCTTTCCGTACAGTGAAAGGAATGGTGAGATGTCCACAGAAGCAACTCTCCTCCCTTCCTCACAGCGAATCTTCACAGCGTCAGCATCTGTGACAACAAACTCCCTGCCATCGCCAGGCACCTGAACCATCATAAGGGCACATCATTCAATTCTCGCTCACTGGTGTGTTCATGCATCTTGTGTGTAGTGTGTATTGCTATTGATAAACTCCATGTGACAGGGACTGTCTTAGCTGGACCAATGTCAACGGCACAGGCTTACAATGTCCCCATGTATGCTAATTCTGGGTGCAACTCCCATCAATAGGGACAGCCTGGGAGCCAGTTCCCACAAACAAGCCCAAGGCACACCAACTAACTTCAGCATCCCAATTTGAAGAGAGCAATCTTCCACCAAAGTTAGCGCATTTGACACACAATGCAGCGGAGGAGAGGGTCCAAACCCTGCACATGCAGTTTGCAGCCCTGACTTGTCCTGAGTGGATCTCCACCTGTACCGAATCACCTCCACAGAAGCAGCCAACAGCCTAAATCGTGCAGGTGTCAATTTTGGTGCAGTGCCATAAGCTATTCAGAGCAAAACAGAAATGGAATTCTGTGGTGATACAGTCTACACTAATGTTCTGTTGCACAACAGCAGAACACTCATATATCACTCTAAGGAAACCTCAGAATTGACAGCCATTGCCCTAAAGCTGAAAGTGCGATCTGAAAAGGTCTCCCAGCTCAATGCGCACAGCCAACCGAGTATGGGGCCCTCCTGGCGCCGATCACCTTGTTGTACACACCCATCTCGATGGCATTCAACAATGTTGACTTTCCATTGAAGCCGCCCCCAACGATGAGGGTGACCCCCTTCTTTATCCCCATGCCCTTAATCTTGCCCGTGTGCGGGGCAGACATCGTGACTTCCATCGAGGGCGGAGATTCGAATTTGACAGCCTCTTGAGCACTCATTGGCTTGTTTGAGTTCCCTGCTCTCCTTGGCAGGATCGACCCATTTGCGATGAAGGACACGAGTCCTTGCTGGCCCAGCTGGGACCGCAGGATGTTCGCGTCCTCAACGGTCTCTACGTGCCGCTGAAGGGCATGTGCATCCTGAAAGGGGGGCCAAAACCACACTGTTATTGCATCTCTTGCTTGCAACGAATCTGGCAAGATTCATGCACCACTGGGCTCACAGCAGGGGCCTCACCCTCCTCCTTTTCACCTCTGGTGTCAGGTGAACAATTCTTTGCACTGTTTCTCTGTTTGGCTCTTTTGCGAAACTTGAGCACGCAGCTGCTTTCCTATCTAATGTATTGTTCTACTTCAGTGCACAATACTGGCCCTAGGCAGGAGACTAGATTTCAAACTGTGGACATATATTGGAGTTCCACATGGAGGAGACTTCGTTTCATGAATACGATCACCAAACAATTAACCCACAATAGACAAGGAGGAACCCGCTTTCATCCAATGTTGTGCTTCCATGCTTACTGACTATCGACAACAGCAGCACGCGTACATAGAACACAGATCCAATATGAAACTGGAGTAAAACTTCAGCCTGAAGGAGCGCTTGCTCCATCAGCACTCCAAGTTGTTGCATTCGATGAGCCACAGGCAACCAAGCACAAATTATCAAGTGAATGGAAACCACATGACCAGTTGCAGGCCAGGTAGAGATGGCCATGACGTGATAATGACTGTGTCAGCGCCCCTATGTTTCATGCCACGACTCAGGTGGAAGAGCGGAAAGAGGAGACAGATCCAACGGGAACAGAGGGAGAGGGGTTGGGTGGGTTGGGGGGAGGAAGAGGGGTCCCGGTTGGTTGCTTTGGCATATCATTTCCGATATTACGTGATTCGAGAGTCCAAAGCACAGCCACCAAAATTAACGCTAGCGAAGAGAGTCAGCAAGTATCACTGTACAAATCTGAGCGAGTGGAAAACGCACCTGGTGATTGAAGAAAATGGCACGCTCCACATGGACTGCAAGGTTTTTTGTAAGGATCCGGATGGCCCAGTCCCCCATGACTGTGCGTCCCTCTGCTGGCAGACCAACCGAGAAGCGCGCCTCCACATAGGACGAATTCACTGTCACAGACGTCCGTTCAAGCACCTGCACAGCTCAGTCGATGCAAAAATCAGCACTGTGAGGCAGTTGCTGGGTTCCATGCTCGGCCCATCCCCAAGAGGCCAACAGTCAACAGGTCAGAAGTCTGGCATACGTCAGAAATGGATATCAGCCATCGCTTGTCAGCCATTTTCAGCACATTTGGTGTCGATTCATACTGCCCTCATCTAGTGGAAAGCAGCGCGTTTGCCTTTTGTGGATAAGATAGTTGGTCTGCCTGAGTCCTCAATGCTACAAGGGCACACACCAGGGGACAGCCGATGACTGACAGGAATGCTCAATCTTTTGGGGTGGGCGTGGGGTGCTGGGGTGAGCATTGTCCACAGCAATTGCTTTCAGTAGTTGCTTGGTGGGCCTGGGACATTCGCTTGCTCACTCAACCACACTCAGGACAACGGGACGCATTTGAACAGGGGCCAGTCATCTGAATGGTTGGCCATGGATGGCCCTATCTAGCACCCACAAGGTCCAATACTCTGGACAATGACTGCCTCAAGGGCAGAAGCAGCGCACAGTTGCCCCGGTCACACGTATCCATGTTCGGCCATCGATTCTGCCGAACGCGAGCGCTCGCTTGGCCAATCACGGTAACAGCAGAAACAAGCCGACGTCCTTGCTGGGAACGCCCCAATCCCTGCCGAAGAAATCCGCGTCAAGGACTGACCCAGTCAACAAAACCAACAGAATTCGCCCCACAACGCTCCACCCCCTCATCGCTCCCCCATTCAAACTCACCTATCGAACAGCAAACAAAATCTTTCTTTGTTCACTCCCATTGCGTCGTGCAATCCCCTCCCCCCCGGGCAACAGCCGAATCTGGTTCCGAGCCGCAACTTCCGACACCCCCTCAGACCACATTTCCCCCACGCCCGGGAACTGATTGCGCCGAATGCGCTCAAATTCACACCCCGAGGCACTCACGTTTTGGCCCGGAGCGTCCACCGTGATCTCCCCTCCTGGGTTGTCCCCGCTGGTCCCGCGCCGTTCGCCCCCCGCGGCCCCCAGCACCTCCGCCAGGCGCCGCGCCAGGTAGTCGCACAGCGCCGTGCGCCGCACCCGGTTGCTCATCAGCCACGTCGGGAAGGACGCCACCGATTGGGCCACCTGCGCAACGCGGCGCACCGTAAGCCACGCAGCAGCCGGCGCCCCATGCGACCCGCCAATCCTCCTCTTAGTCACGCGATCGCCCTCGTGCTGTGAAAAAGCAGCGCCTTGAGCGTCCGGGCGCGCTGCAAACAAATAATAGGGCAAGATGCCGTGCGAGATTGAAAGCAAGCCCGGGCGGACCCCGACACAGCGCGAGCCCACCGCCACCTCGCATCCCCTCCCCCCCCTTCCCCCCCTCCCTGCCCGCGACGCGCCAATCGGCCAGATGGTGACAAGCCGCCCAGCCCCGCGATCGTGGCCCCCGCCCCCGCTTCCGCCCACCTGCACCCTGCATCTCGACGGCGCGTCGTAAGGGTCCGCCTGCACGTGGTCCACGAACAGCTTGAAGTTCCTCATCTCCCAGCAGCCCTTGATGTCCTGGTACGCGCTGTAATCCCTCCCGTTGATGTTCGTCAGCGCGAAGGCCAGCTCGTCGGCGCCCCCCTTCACCACCGACCCGCAGGCCAGCTTCTTGCCCGGGGGGGACGTCGGCTGCGGCTGCATGTTGCTGGTGCTGACCGCCTTGGCCATCACCGCGCCGTGCTCGTGCTCGCGATGGTGAGAGAAAGACTTCTCGTGGAGGACGGGGGCGGCGGGAGGGGGGGGCTGGGGGGAGGACGAGTAACCCCCTGCGGCGGAGCGCACGCCGAGGCCCGGAGCTGCGCAAAAACGACAAATGGGGTCGGCAAAGGGAAAAATCCGCAGGGAAGATGGCGGCCAAAAGGCGCGACTTTGGCGTCTGATTCACCGAAGGGATCGGCTTCCTGGGGTCTGCCGGGCGCAGCCGTGCGATGCAATGGCGGGGATTGGGCCCACCTTGGCCATCCAGGGAGGCGTCCTTGGGCTTGGCGCCCGGTGCGCCGCCGTACAGGCTCTTGAACACCAGCGACCGCCCCACGTTCTTGGTCGCCTTGCCCGACTTGTCACGCTTGGGCAGGGGCAGCATGGCGCCGCGCTTGCCGCCTCCGGCCCGCTCCCCCGAACGGCAAGAATCTGGGTGGCCTGGAGCCGGGATGATTGATGCACGCCCTTCGGGTGGGTGGGGGCTGGACTGTGTCCTGTGACAGTGGCAGAGTGGCGCGTCAGATCAGGATGACAGGCGGGGGAGGCCGCACTGACAAGGCAATACTAGGGGGCGAATGTACGGTGTGGGTGGCCTTGCATCTGGCGGTGTCCAATGCCGGTCCAATGTTACGGCGCTGCCGTACACCCCCCCCCGTTCAAGGGGGCCGTTGGGGCGCCTTGTCTTCGTACTTCGGTAGTCGTGTGACGGCTCTCATTTTCACTAGACACCAGGATCTCATTTGGGAAGATGAGGCAGTTTAGTAGGAAGGCCGCAGGAGGAGGCCAGAATGGGGAAGCGTCTTGAAAAACAAATGTTCGATGGCCATTACGTGTGACTGCCTAGTGCGGCTGGTGAGTCACGGCCACGTTTGCACTTCCTAGAGAATGTGCCCAATCCAGATCCCACAACAACCAACTACTACTCCAACTGCAAAAACACAGGTCAGTTGAAAGTAAACTGGACTAGTACTTGGGCCGGCAATCACGCCTGTCACAGGCTGCGACATGATTGGTACGGCGTTTCTATCCTGCCTGATTTGACTACGCCGTATGCGCTCAGAGTTCCACAGAAAAATGAGTTGTCCCTTAATGCGGGCAATTTTTTTGGCTATACCAACCAGCTGTAAGCCTTCACCGCGCATAAATGACAGTGAATGGTTATGCACACCGCCTAACGACACTAGTACATCATCAGTGTATACTTTAACGTCTAGCTTTTAGGACTAAAGTATTAAGGCTTTGTGTGAGTTAATTTTCAAAGACTTTCTCTAACAGCTCGTTCCAGCTTTTTTGCAGTTGACGAGCTTGACCTTCTTTCAAAGATGGCCTCTGAGTCTCCTGTGTGTCTTTATACAGGTCAACCTTCACAGGAGCTGGGGGGCACTGGGATGACACAACTTTTACCACAGGAGTTTGAACTCTGATTTCCTGGTTTAGTTCTTTGGGGCTCTCCTCAGTTTGACTCATGCCAGGCTTTTACTGGACAAATGTTGAGACAGCTGAAGGGCTTATAATTGTAAGTTGTAACTTACTTGCTTGGTACCATACCGACCGTGTGTGTGCGGCGCTGGCGTGGTTTTCGGTGTGTTCGCGGGCGATGCTCCCGCCGAGGCGCCCGATGGGGCCACGGGGCCCTGTTACGCGCACCAGCCTGATGTGGGAGACGTCCTACTAATGGCCCTTGGTGTGGGGGACGCCCTGCCCAAGGCACGTACTATTCCTCACCCAATGTAACCTTTATCCATATTAGGATACGGGAGTAGGAGGGGTGGTCCCGCCTAGGTGCCCTGTAAGGACCTAGGTGCCCGGCGAGGCGGGTCCGCGGCTCAAAGAGGGCAGGAACCCCACACCCACATCCTATTCGTAACATTTGGTTTCGGAGCCGCCTGAGGGTGGCGGCCACGCTTCCACCTGGGAGCGCGCGAGAGCACGAGACGCCGGAGCCCTTCCCCGGCCTCCTCCATGGAGGCTGAGGAATCGGAGGGACAAGCCCGGGATGGGCAGGGGGAAGGACAAGCCCGGGATGGGCAGGAGATCGATACACCCCGGGAGGGGACACCAACTTCGGTTGGTGAGGTTAAAGCCCGGGATGGGCAAGGAGGTGACAAAGTCCGGGAGGACACGGCTGGACCCTCCACAGCCACTCCGCCACCTGCAGAGGAAGATGAACCGATGGGGGAAGCGAGTGCCCCACCGGCGGCGGAGAAGAAACAAGAGCAAGAACAGGGGACCATGGCGGCGCTGCTGCAGACCCCTGGTATCATGGAGCTCTTGGAACAAGTGGCGGATGCTGCTGCCAAGAAGGCGAGAGCGAAGCGGGAGGAAGAGACCGCCGAGAGGATCGCCTCGCTGGAGATCGCCGTCAACAAGGCCAAGAAAGAAGCTCGAGAGAAAGAGCTGGCCATGAAGAAGGCGAAGCAGCAGAGCCGCGAGGCACAAGAAGCCAAAACCTCCGCCGAAGACCAGGTCAAGGCGTTGAGTGACCGCCTCCTGAAGCAAAAGCAGCGGGCCCAGGAGGCAGAAGAGAGAAGCGCCCAACAGGTGGTGCCAGCTGTGAGGGCCCCCAGTCCGTCGGAGCTGCCCATGCCAACCATCCCAGAGGAAGACTGGAAGGTTGCTGGCAAGCAGCGCCCCAAGCGGAAGAGTCCATCGCCAGGTGAGCGGCCGATGGAAAGTGAGAAATCTCCATATCAAGGCCGGGAGGCCAAAGCCTTAGGGCGAGTTGAGAGAATGCAAGGCCGAAAGGTCAAGATCCCGGAGCTACGGCTCAAATCCCAGGTGTATGTGAGAACACCTAGTGGATCGGACGGGACTGGAGATGAGTCGCTCACAGAAAGCGCTCAAGCTGTTTGCGGAAAAAGTCCGCCAAGGCCGGGAGGCCATAATTGGAGCCCTCGGAGGCCTGCGCTACCAGAATGGGGGCCGGGTGAAAGCTCAAGGGTGCTGGAGTTCGTTCCAGACACTCGAGATCCATATAGCCGGCAACCACCGTGCCGTGCAATGTGGACAAAGTTCCACAGTGATCTCGTCGATGAGCTTGACGAGGGATGGCGGATGGCCGCCGACCAGTTTGGAGAAAGGTTAACCACCGCCAGACTGGTTAGAATACAAAGGTGGTATGGTCCTGGAATGGCAGATCAAATTGCCAAAGAGGACCCAAATTGGCCAGAAAAGATGGCCTTTGCGCTCAGGCATATCCCGGAACCATGGGACTTGAGCGAGGGGAGTCCAGAGAGACCAGACCCTAATGATCCCCACGAGCGGTGGGAGGAGATCTCGGAATTGTCGTTCTCGTCATGTGCTTCTCCTTTGCCGGGTGATATGTCAACCCGTGCACAAGTGCATAGAATGGAAAAGGAGAGACGACGCATTCGGAACCGAGATCGGTTCGCTCGTGCCAAGAAACTAGACGAGCAAAAGGCCAGAAAGGCCAAACAGCGGAGAGAGTTGAAAGCGCTGCGACGTGAGCGGGATCGTCAATTGAATCCTGAAAAGTATGAGCGTAAGCGAGCTCACAAACGCCAGCGCAAGGCTGAGATCAAGCGGTTTTTCTCCGCAGGAGGCAGCCAAAAGGCGCAACGCCTAGAGGTTAAGCCGCCGGCCGATGAGCTGGACCCGGCCGAGCAGGCCAAGGCCTTCGCCCGCATTGCCATGAAGGAGGGGACCTCCAAACGCTGGGCCGATCAGCAGGACAGTAGCGGCAGTGACAGTGGTGTAAACCACCCTGCCCGCTTTGTCCCCACCCAACCGGAACAGGCATCGCCATCGGTTGTGGTGACCAGCGGTCCCAAGGCGGAGGGTACGCCAGGGAAGGAGTCCCAGCCTAGAGAAGCAAAGGCAAAAGACCCGCCTGCAGAGGCGAGAGTACAGCCTAGAAAGGCAAAGGAGGAATCCAAAGGCCCGCAAAGGCCAGTTTCAGGTAATCATCCTGTTGAACTGTCTTTGCTGCGACCTGTTGTGAAAAATACACAGATGCGTAACCGTGCAGAAATTGGTGATTCTGCTGGTAACGATGAGATTGTGTATCTCGGTTCAGCAGGTGAACCTGCCAGTCCAATTCCCCGGGAAAGACGGGAGACCTATGAGATCCTGCAGAGGCAGGAGGCTGCTTTGCAGAAAGCGAAAGCGGATGCAGAAAAAGCTGCACAGCTGCACTCCATCATAGGAGATGAGGATTATGCAGCATTTCTGCAGCTTCAAGAAGCAAAGCAGATTTCTCATGGACGGCAGGAAATTGCCTACAAACCGGCGAAACCGGGGCCTGGATACCAGGAACGCCGCGCCCAGCAAATGGCGGCCGATCAAAGTGGATGTGCCAAGGTGCCGCACGAGGCTGCAAAGCCCACCCTTGTGATGCGTGCCCCTGTCATACAGGACACGAGGGGCTTTTGGGATACGCTGGGTGCCTTTCATGACCCTCATGGAGGGGTATACTTTAAGGGGTATTATCATCCCCGTGGAGGCCATGCCCCTGGGGATATATGTGCCAGAGGGTCAAGAAGCAGCCATGGAATGGCAGGCCATCCAGAGAACTGGCCGAAAAGTCCCTGAAGAGGGATCAGTGCAAATGCCCCCGGGACCATCGATGCAGGCAGGTCCCACCACACCGGCTCGTCCAGTGGCTCAGCCAGAAATGGTGCCAAGACAGCCGGTGCGGCTTTATACAATGGGGCAGGCTGGACAGCGGACATCACAGCCTCCTGTGCAAACGACGCAGCAAAAGATTCAAAGGCTGCAGGAGATGTCTCCATTTGCGCCGGAGTCAGCTGTGTATCCGCCAGTTCGGTATTATCAGCCAGGGATGGCGACACAGCCCGGGAGGGCATACAAACCCGGAAGGGTACCGCAGGCGGAGATCGCCCCAAGACAAGAGGAATACTCAACACCCGCTTACAGTGGATCATCCCATCCATCCGGATCGGGAGGTTACGAGAGGGTGTACGAGTACCCGCCCAGTCATTTCCAGACCCAGGAACCTCCACATGAGGAATTTCTGTTTGGGCTGGAGGTTGATCAGGCTACTGAGCCACATCGGGCGGAAATGGGGCCTCCACCGCCTCCGGAGGGGTACAATCCCCAAGGGCCGGGTTATACCGGTCAAGCCTATTTGGCAGCGGCGCAAGAGATTCCATATGCGCCAGTTTATTACGAACCCGGAAGGGAAGCTCAGGTGAGTATGAACATGCCTAAGATGAACAGTCAGGGCATGAAACCCCCAAAATGGAATGAAGATAAACAGGCCTTAACCAAGTGGTTACAAGAAATCATCATGTATTTCAAAACCACTATGGCACCCCGGACACAATGGGGATGGATAGCACTGAATACTCTTAAAGAGTCAGTGAAACATGGCCTACTAGCCCAGTTGGGACACATATGGGG